GATCCTTCTGCCTCAGCCTTCCAAGTAACTGGAACTACAGGCGTGCACTACCACGCCCGGCTGATTTTTTGATTTATTGTAGAGATGAGGTTTCACTGCCTAGGCGGGTCTGGAACCCGCGGGCTCAGGCAATGCACTCACCTCGGCCTCCCAAAGGCACGGGATTACAGGCTGAGCCACCGAGCCCAGCTGTTTGTGGCTTTTTTAAGTCATTTCGGTACTTCATGGTAAACGTGCATTGCTATTGGAATTTGAAAGAATTTACTAAAAACCTATCACTAAACTCTTGATAAGATAATCTTAAATCCTTGAAAATACATGAATATTCTTAAGGGGAAGTATTTTTACATTTCTACATAATATCAGTTCTTTTTTTTAGGTTTGTGGATCAAGCTAAGGGAATTTTCGTGTGATGTGTAGCTTATGTAGCACCATTTTCTTTATCTAGTCTGTAGCATACTGAGGGGACTTCTGATCGTACACTTTCTCACAAAAGGCATAATATGTCTGTGATTGTTTCTGCCTTTGATACTCATTACTACAAACTTTTTTTTTTTGAAAGCCAAAATCTCACTCTGTCACCCAGGGTGGGGTTCAGTGGCATGCTCATAACTCACCCCAGCTTTGACCTCCTGGGCTCAGACTATCCTTCCACCTCCACCTTCCAGGCAGCTGGGACCAAAGGCATGTGCCACCACACCCAGCTAATTAAAAAAATTTTTTTATTGTAGAGATGACGTCTCACTGTGTTGCCCAAGTTAGTCTCTAGCTCCTGGGCTCAGGCAGTCTTCCTGCCCCAGCCTCCCAAAGTGTGGGGATTACAGGCATGAGCCACCACACCTGGGCACATTGCTATAAATTTTAAACACTGAACATGCTATACATCTCAGACAGGTAGTTTAATATTAATCTGTCTTCTCTCCAAAGGGGTAAAGAAAAAAGGAATAGGCCTGGCATGTTAGTCCTTACACCTACTCGGGAATTAGCGCTTCAAGTGCAAGGTGAATGTTCTAAGTATTCCTGTGGAGGTCTTAGAAGGTAAGTCCTTTTTTTTGCCATTCCTTTACCAGTTCTCTGACCATCAGTAGTTTTATAATCCTCCCCATCATATCTCACACATCTAGAGACTCTAAATGACTCAACAGGGCTGTTCTTACCCCTAATCTAACCAACTAAGCTTGGTCAAAGGAGTCAAGTAATGGTACAAATGCGGCCCTTCAGTACACAACACTGTGGACTGAAGGGTGCGCAGAGTTCTAAAAAGGGGCAGGTGTCACTGAAGGCAGCTGATGACCTTTTTTATTTTTATACCTTTTTAAAAATAGACCTAAAATGCTTAGATTGCGTGGCATTTTGAGTTGTGATAAGATATTCTTTTTCCTAACCATGAACCTGGATTTTTTTTTAAGTGTTTGTGTATATGGTGGTGGAGATAGAGACAAACAAATCGAAGATCTAAGAAAAGGTGTAGATGTCATTATTGCAACTCCTGGAAGATTGAACGATCTGCAAATGAATCATTGTGTCAACCTGAAGAGCATAACCTACTTGGTAATCATGGAGTAAGGGCTTGGGATGCTGTGAATCAGTATTGACTTTTAATAATATACTTTAAGAATGGCCTCACTTTATAATGGTTTTAGAGTCTAGGAATATTTCCCATTCCCTTTAGCATGTTAAGAAAGATATTTAAGATACTTTGTTTTTTTTTCTGAGTCTGGGTCTCATCTGTACCCAGGATGGAGTGTGGTGGCATAATCATGGCTTACCACAACCTCAGTCTTCTGGACTTAGGCCATCCTCCCACATCAGCCTCCTGAGTAGCTGGGACTATAGCCATATGCCACCACACCCAGCTAATTTTTTTATTTTTATTTTTTTGTAGAGTTGTGGTCTCAATATGTCGCCCAGGCTGATCTTGAACTCCTGGGCTCAAGCAATCCTCCCACCTGGGCCTCCCCAAAGTGCTGGGATTACAGGTGTGAGCCACAGCTTCTGGGCATTTCTATTTTTAAATGAGTTTACTTGTCTATTTTATACATTTTGGAAAACATAGGTAGGTTAAAAGAATTAAAAACTACTTGGATATTTTAGACATTTCAATTTTCTTTATAAAATAGGGTTAGAAGCATTAGAAAGCCAATTAAAAATAAATAAATCTAAGTTGCATATAACCACAAATGACTTATTTTGACCTGGAGAAATTAAAACAGTGACTTAGGTAATCGGGGAAATGAGGAAGACCTGACTCCTTGTATTTTGTTTTTAAAGAGCACATAGCAGCCTCCCATATCTAATCTGGCCACATTCTTCATTGTTAATTCAGGTTTTGGATGAAGCAGATAAGATGCTGGACATGGGGTTTGAACCTCAGATAATGAAGATTTTGTTAGATGTGCGCCCAGATAGGCAGACTGTTATGACAAGGTAGGTGTCACTGTCCAAAATAGAAATCAGAGTAGAAGCCCATTCTGTTTGGCTTGCCCCACAATATGTTAGAGCATTACTTGAAAGTATTTTGAAATTATTAGGGGAAAGATACCATGTCATCACTTAGTTTAGCAGTTAAGAATACAGCATATAGCCAGGCTCGGTGGCTCAGCCTATAATCCTGTGCTTTGGGAGGCTGAGGTGAGTGAATTGCCTGAGCCCGTGGATTCAAGACCCGCCTGGGCAACTAGGCGAGACTTCATCTCTACAATAAATCAAAAAAACTAGCTGGGCATGGTAGCACGTGCCTGTAGTTCCAGCTACTTGGAAGGCTGAG